AATAAAATTTTTAATAAAAGAAAATTTCATGAAATGTAATTATCTTAATTATCTTATCTTAATTAAGTTAAATTAGCCTAAATCAAATTAAATTAAATTTTAGACATTTAGAGTTCATTTTATAAAAACAAAAAAATTAAAACAAAATGAAATTAAATAAAATAAAATAAGTTGACCAAGTCAAATTTTAGACATTTCAATTCTGTTTTATAACATTTTATAAAATGTAATTAAATTTAATCTTTAATTAAACCAAGTCAAATTTGAGACATTTTGCGTTTGTTTTATAACCATTACGAATAAAATAAAAATGTTATTTAAAATAAAATAAATTGATCATCCGCTTTGTAAAACATATGGCAGAATAGCTGGCGGATGCCTGATAAATCAATCAATCAATCAAATAATAATTAAATACTGAATTTGAGGTTTTTATATGACTAGAGTCATATAAGTTGTTGTTCTAAAAACTTAAAAACACCATGAATTCAGGTCATCAATCTGATTAACGTGTAAAAACAAATTCAGCAAAATGGAAAACAATTCAAAAAGAACTAATAATACAGCCCATTCAAAGGGGAGGAAAAAAAGGGTGGGATGAAGAAGTGTGCAGTAAGGGGCCGACAATAAATCAGTAACTGCCCTCTGGACACGCTTACTGCCATCAATGAGGGACTCGCTGCCTGTTCCAACAGGTCAGGAGCCATTGAGAAACAAACCTATTCTGGGAATACTGTAGAGGAACTGATTCTCGGACACTTTTGACAATCATAGAAACAACTTGAGGAGCTCACACAGCAGTTTAAGACAACAGCAACACTGAATGCTTATTTCCTGCTGGGTGGCAAAAGCTGCCAAACACTATGCAAATACACAATTTGTCCAAATGATTGCTTAAACTACCCCTATTATGGAACATATAAAGCTTCATGCAGCAGGGCTGTGTCTGAAATCAAAATAAGTTAACTATATTTGCACACTAATATATGGATACTGAAATATGGATATTGATAGGAGATAATGAATGTTAGAATACCATTTTATCCCATATTTTTATCTTAAAACTTAGCAAACCAATAACATTGCTTATGCCCAAAATCTCTTAGTGAATCTTTCTAAAAGAATCATTAAAAGTCATGATAAATATACATACATTCCAGTGCACTCCGGTTCACTCACACCTTTTCATTCACCCCTTTAAGTTGATTATTTGTAGACTAATATATAGGGCATGGCCCTAGTAATTAACTAGTAATTAAATAAAAAATGTTTTATAAAATAAAATAAAATAAAATAAAATTAAATTAAATTAAATTAAATTAAAATTAAAATCAAAATTAAAATTAAAATTAAAATTAAAATTAAAATAAAATAAAATAAAATAAAGTTAAATTAAATTAAACCAAGTCAAATTTTAGACATTTTAAGTCTATTTTATCCCTAGTAATTAAATAAAATATAAAATAAAATAAAATAAAATAAAGTTAAATTAAATTAAATTAAATTAAACCAAGTCAAATTTTAGACATTTTAAGTCCATTTTATACCTAGTAATAAAATAAAATAAAATAAAATAGAAAAATAAAAATAAAATGAAACACCTTTTCATTCACCCCTTTAAGTTGATTATTTGTAGACTAATATATAGGGCAGTGCTATTCAATTAGTTTGTTATGGTGGCCAGTTCATGAAAATCATCTCAAAAGAAGGGCTGAAGAGATATGAC